AGGCTAGCAGTGCAGAGATAAAATGGGACTTGTCCCCAAACAAAACAGGATTTCAGAGGCAGGGTCTAGATTGAAGATCTAAATCTAGAAGGCATGAGCTTAGATGGTTATGTGAAGCAGATGAAATGGGTTCTTAGAGGTGTGGAAATGTAGAAAAATAGGGAAAGCTAGACTGCATCCTGAAGAGTTCCAGCTTTTAGAGAAGTCCAAGAGAGGAAAGATTTCAAGAAAGAAACAAAGGTAAATAGAGGGGAAGTCCAAGCCAGAAAACCTTCCACTGGATTTAAAGCAACATAAAGATCACCAGAGAGAGACTCAGAACTTTCAAAGTCAAATTTTAAATATCTCGGTTTCTTGATGTAGTTTCATGTGAGTGAATGGGACTGATTCAATCACAGAATTAGTGACAATCCGTCTCGAAAATAGGCTAAGCCACCTTATTAGGATGAGCCCCTGGTAATAGTCAGGGTTCAGCCTTCTGAAGTTCCAGCCTAGGACTGGAGCCTAATTAATTATTTTGTGATCTGAATTGCTGAGGTAGCCACATTCTGAGGTCAAGCATTTGATTTTCAGGTTGCAAGTTCAATTCCAGGTTTTAGGGCCTTGCCCAATATACTACCCTATTTAAAAAGGTAGATGGGAAACAGCTATCTAGTCCCCTGCTATATATGGAGTAAGCTTTCCTACATTTTTGATGAAGATGGAGGGGTTGATGAGCATGTATAGGGTAGAGAAGTTTTGAGAAGAAACTAACATGCATATCAAGCTTTGCATGCATAACCTCATCCCATATTCAAAATAGTCTCACAAGTTGTTGTTATTCATGTTTTTCAAAGTGGAAGTTCATTAAGTACCAGAAACTAGATTCAAGTGCATGTTTGGTGGACTCTAAACCCCAGTCTGTTATTTCAGTTTTCCTCTACTGTGTTACATAGTGCTACAGATATTACATGATAGAAGAAATGGCCTGTGTTCAAAAACAATTGGAGAAATACTAGGTTAAATAAACTGAAATGCAGAAATTCTCAGAGCTTTTAATATCGAACATTTGAAATCTCCAAGAGTTGTGTTGTCTGAAACTTATTTAAGTGTATTTGGCCACAGAACTTCTCTCCCTCCTCTCCCCTTATGCACATCTCAGGAACAAGAACTCCCACGGAGGAACTTTGAGGAACTCTAAAATGACACTGTGCCATTTCTATGGAGGAATAAACTAAAAGTCAGGTCATTATAGCTTATACTAGCACATCAAACTAAAGCAACTAAATCAAACTAGCAAACAAAAGACTAGACTAAAGATCTGGAATCTCAGTGTTCTTACTGCCTGAGTAGATTTCCAGCAGCAGGGACATGCTTTAAAATGATCTGTCAAGATTTACTAGGCCACTAATTTGTTAATGGTTCCCTAAGTACTCGAAAAATTGGTATGATTCTTTTGGAAAGTCATTTGGCCATATGGTTATAAGCTTTAAAATCACTTGTGTCCTTCTATTCAGTCATCCCATTCTACAGGCTGTATCTTCAGTCCATGACATAGGATATGGAAGGCCTGGGTGCTCAATCTTCTAATTGTTTGATATTAGGGGAGGGGAACAATATGCAACCATCACAAATACTTTACATTTCTGTTGTAAGTGGAAAAACCACGATATAAACTATAATACTCAGAATGATCTCAAGTATGTTATGAAAACAAAGAGTGAAAAGAAATTAAACATTAATGGTGGGAGGATTGGAGGCATTTTCAATAATCTTTTCTGTGTTCTCTTTCATGAGAATTTATTGCTTTTATAATCAGCAAAAACAAATGGGCCTCCGTGGTAGTGCAGCGGGTTGAGCTCAGCGCTGTGAAGCTGCCTGCAGCCTTTGCAGTGCTGGTTCGATTCCCGGCCGGCCACGGAGAAGCCCATATGGCACAGCAGACCTCTCCTATATGCCCGCTGCTCTCCCCAGCAGTGCTTGCAGTCCATCTGCCTGTTCTGCTCCCCACTCTGTCTCTGGTGAATCCTCTCACCCTCCCGTGCCTCTGGCCTGTACCCCAGCTATTGCATAAATAAATAAATCTTTAAAAAAAAAAGAAATTCATTGGAACGATAAGAGGAAATGCTGGTCATACTGTTACTGGCCAAGAGGTTGGAGCTCTGTAATCACTTCATGCATGGTCCTGGGGTGCTTTGTGTGCTTTTGTTTCTGTGATAGCATTAATGTGTGTGCCTCTGTCTAGACATCATGTCACAAAGCTTTTAAAACTACAGCAACAGAATCCTGTTCTGTCTAAGCTTTTGCTTCCATCCATTAATTCTGTTTTCTTCCATTTTGACATCATAACGCAGTCTCTGTGGGCTTACAATGACATTACCTTGACAATTTCTATAGTGAGATGCAGAAATAATACTGGAGTCATTTTCTGTTCCCAAACCTTCACCCTGTACCTTCTTTACCACTTTTCGATGATTAGAAATCTTGCATTTCTCCATGTCCCTATGCTTCAAACTTTTACTATTAAGACAACCTATCAGAAAAATGACATGTGGACAAAGCCTTGAGTCATTTGAATGTCTACATGCTGGGAGAATTTAATCAGATTCTAACTGGGAATTAGGGCCAAATAAATCTCCAAACAATGTCATTCTAATTTTCATCAACTGATTTCATTTTTCCCTTCTATCTTTCCTTCCCTCTGTGTCTTTTCCTTTCCTAAATATTTACTGAGCACTTTCCTTGGGTCTGACACCATGACAGGTACTGGGCCTTCAGTCACAAGCAGACAGTTTAATACCTGCCTTCAGAGAACTTACAATCTGGTGAAGAAGACAGAAATCATACAAATATTACAAGTGTTTTAATTAAGTGCTGAGAAAAAAGTGTATAGAAATGGACAAAATAAATTCTAAGATGGGAGGTATCTTTTTTTTTTTTTTTTTAATACAAGAGTCGGAGTACAATCCAGATGCATGGGAGCGTGAGAGGATTCACTAGAGATAGAGCAGGGAACAGAACAGGTTGACTGATGAAATATACTGCTGAGGGGAGCAGTGGGCGAGACAGGAGAGCTCTGCCCCTACATGTGGGTTGCTCCGAGGCTGGCGGGGATAGAACCGGCACTGCAGAGACCACGGACAGCCTCACAGCGCTGCACTCAACTCACTGCACCACCAGAGAGGCCTGATGGGAGGTATCTAATGTGTGAATAGTGAGGATGGTGTCCCTACAGAGCTGATGTTTATGATGAGACTGAAAAACACCTAGGAGCTAACCAGGTAAACTGGTAGATAGTTGGATTCACTAAGAATTGTGTTCTACAGGGCTATGCTCGAGGGAACAGGAGGATCCAGGATCCAGAACAGTGGTTAACATTTTAAAATGATGAATCATGAAACCAAAACTAATTATAAAAGAAAATGAAGATAGGAGTGGGTCTCATTGTTAGAGAGAAAGCATAGGTGCCAGTGGAAGTCCTAATGGGGTCCAACCAAGTGCAGTGAGAATCCTTGAGCATCAAAAGATATAAAGGAGAAGGTACGGAACCCTCAAGTCACTATTGACACTGCACTACCATTTAAGAAATGGCCACTTGTCATTTGTAGTATAGTATAAAAGACTATATATGACCAGACTAGTAAAACAGCCCTCCACTATATAACTCTTTCAGCTGCATAGTTGTTTGAGACTGGATTTTCTTCACAGATTTTAACAAAACAACATAAAGCAATAGAATAAATGAAGAAGCAGAAATGAGAATCCAGCTGCTAAAGCAGGCATTAAAGAACTGTACAAAAGCATAAAACAATGACACTCTTCACTAATTATTTTCCTTGGAAGTGTATTTCTAATAAAATCATGCTATTTATGGTAATGTAACAGATTTATGGTAATGTAAATAAATACAAATTAAAAAGTTTTGATTTCTGTGAACATTGATAGATCTAGTCCACTTTAAACAAAGTTTCTTTAGAGTCCTCAATGATCATCAGAATATGAAAGGTCCTGGGACCCAAGTTTGGGAACTAGAGTGAAAGATGAATGTCATGACTACCCCAGAACTCCTTGTCTAGGGTTTCAGCCTTGGGGTGATCATTTATCATGAGTAGTGCTCACTGCATGAGATCTGAAGCACTCTTTTAGGGAGATAATTGTGGCATTAATCACAGCAGAGTCTGCTGGCTCTTCGAGGTTGCATCAGTTCTGTTGGTAACAGAAAGCTCCCCAACTCTGCCCAGTGGCCTCACCAGGCCTGAACATGGGCCGCAGTGATGGTGCTGCAGAAAGGGTGAAGGCTGGGAGCCAGGCAAGCTTATGGCTGGTTTATCTTGCCCTGAGTGACCTGGCTAACTCTTTAACGGGCAAACTTGATAAAATTAAAAATCTAGCATCAGTTCAGCCTTAAAAAGAAGGAAATCCTGCCATTTCTAACCACATGGTTGAAAATGGAAGACAATATGCTAAGTGAAACAAACCAGACAAAGACAATACTGTATGATTTCACTTACACGTATAATCTAAAAAAGTTGAACTCACAGATCCAGAGAACAGAATGGCGGCTACAAAGGGCTGGGGCAGGGTATATGGGGTGGGGGGAGTCAGAGGGTACACGCTTTCAGTAAGAAGATGAGTAAGTTCTGGGGATCTACTACACAGCACCAAGACTATGGTTTAACAATACTGGATTGTATGTGTGAAACTTGTTGAGAGTGGATCTAGAGTGTTCTCACCCCCCCCCCACAGTAACTATGTGAGATGATAGATGTGTTAATCAGCTTTATTGTGATAATCATATCAAAACCTATATGTGCAGCAAACTATCATGCTGTATACTTTTAATATGTACAATTTTTATTTCTCAATTTTACCTCAATAAAGGTGAGGGAAAAATCAGCACCTGTTTTTGTATTATCATGATACCTTTATAAGACCTTTTTGAATTTAAAACAAAAATTAAGATGATCATCATAAAATTTACACAATTGAAGCAGGGTCTTTCCTCTCTTTAGGAGAGTGAGCCGGGAAGATCAGGGTTACACCCCCACACCAGTTTCCTGCCAGCTGAGCAACTGGTCAGAGTGGACAGACTGTTTCCCATGCCAGGACAAGAAGGTAGGACATTTATGTTTAGTTTGGGGGCACTTAGTATTTGAATTGTGTACTAGGCACTCAAATGGAGATGAGCAGTAGGGCCCGTAAGTCTGGCAGTGTTGGGAGAAATTGGGTCTGGAAAGATGTATTTGGGAGTCATGGACCTGTGGATGGCTGAACTTTTCTGCCTCTCCTGGTTTTGTTTTTAAGGCATTATAGTGTGAGGCTCAAGAGACGTGTATGCTCTGGCTTATGTGCTAAGAAGTTCCCATCTGGACATAGGCCCACTATCCCTGATGGCCTCTCTGTGTCCTGGCCAATCTAGTGCCCTGTCACGAGGATCATCTGGAGGGACTAATAGCTAAGTGACAAAATGCCAAGCTGTGCCTCACCTCTGGGGAGTGGAGATAAACCAGAGCATGCTACTGAGGGTGTTCTTGAGGACCCCATTTACTTAGGCTGAAAAGGCTGATGCACACAGCAAACCAAGGGTCTATCTTGCCCATTTAAGTGGCTGTGAATGGTTCAAAATGGTCACTAAACTCAGCAGCCTACCAAGGCAGGCGGATGGCGGGAGCAGTTCTCAACTCTGTTCTGGAGGGAAGGACCATTAACATTCTGACTGTGTTCTGAATCTCTGACTCCTGGTGATAATGAAGACTAAATTTGGTTTTGTTATTATGTTAAAATCTCTATAGATAATAGAGAGGGACCTTACTGGATGCAGCCGGGTCCCCACCTCCCTACTTGGTTCACCACCACCTGAACCTTATCTGTTGGCACATCACTCTCAAGTCTATGTGTTTAAGCTCTTATTTTGCAGTGTTGATTCTGGCTTTGCATCTTATTTGCTGTGTTAGTTTGGGCATTTTTTTAAACACTCTGTGTCACCTATTCTTGATCTACAAATGGGAATAGTAACAGTACTTACATTGTAATTATTATGAGCACTAAATTAGTTAAGGGGTGCAAAGTGCTTTTCATGATATCTGGAACACAGTACGTGTTCAATAAACGTTTTTATAATTATAACATTTGCCCTCCTCTCTCACCCCATCCCATAGCCTTCAATCACGCCCTGCTCTTGCAGAGTCCACTGATGGGTCCTCCTGCCTCCAGACCCACTCCTGAGGTAGATGAGGAGCTGCCCTGTGGATGTTTGATAGGTTCTTCAGCCACAGAATAGTGGAAACACAATCTGGACCTAGTTACTGAACTTCAGAGCCTAAGATGTATTATTCTGCCTTTCCTGTCTCTGAAATGCCAAAGAATTCTAGACGGCCCCTGTTTAAAAGTGTCCATCCCCCTAATTCTCATTATGCTCTAACATCCTGTAATAGTTATCTGAGTCTGCTGCAGCAAATTGCCACAAACTGGGTGGCTAAAAACAACAGAGATTTATTCTCTCAATGTTCTAGAGACCAGAAGTCTGACATGAAGGTGTTGGCAGGGCCATGCTCTCTGGAAGCTCTGGAGGAGTCTGTGTTTCGCTTCATCCAGCTCCTGGGGGCCTCTGCCCATCCTGGTGGCAGTCCCATCGCTCAGGTCTCTGCCTCCTTGGACAACTCTTGGCTACTTCCCTGTGTCCCTCTGTGTCTCTGTGGGTCTGTATGAAGTCTCCTCTGCCTCTTCTATAAGGACATTGGTGGCATTTAGACCCCACCAGGATAATCTAGAGTAATTCCAAATCACAAAGTTTTAAGTCTGCAAAGAGCCTTTTTCCAAATGAGGTAACATTTACAGTTTTTGAGGATGAGAAGTTGATCTCCATGCATGACCATTAATCCACCTATTCTACCTCCAATACCATCAGGTGTTGCCTTCTAGGTAGCAAAGAGCACAGTGGACTTACAGTTTAAGTTGGAGTCGAATTACTTCCTCAGTGACTCAAGAAGACATGGGTCTTTAAAGTTATCCTTAAAATAATTAAATTCAGTGAATTGTTTAAGGAAAAGATCACCTTCATTTTTTTTTTTTTTAGTAATATACTTCTTTCTTTTAAAATCACCCAAATAAAGATGTGCATTTCTGGAAAGAAAGAATACCTATCATCTAGAAAAGGAGATTATGTCTTAATGACACTAACCACAGGCAATGACACGGAGCGGTCCCTAACGGGGTGTCCGCACCAACCTCTCTACCACATGATGTCTTCATTATATGCTAACAACTCAGACAGTAGGAGTGGGTGGGAAGGAGCCTCTTGTCTGCACCATCACTCCAGCTGCAGGAAGCACAGGAAAGATGGCATTAGTAGTTACTATTTATTTTTTTAAAGATTTATTTATTCATGTATACAAGAACTGGGGTACAGGCCAGAGATGCGGGGGGTGAGGATTCACCAGAGACAGAGTGGGGAACAGACCAGGTGACTGACTGAAATACACTGCTGAGGGGAGCAGTGAGCGAGTCAGGAGGTCTGCTGTGCAATGTGGGTAGCTCCCTGGCTGGCCAGGGATCGAACTTGTGCCGCAGAGGCTTTGGATTGCTTCATAGCGCTGTGCTTAACCCCTTGCGCCACCAGGGAGGCCCCAATAATTACTATTTATTAAATGATTTTTATATACCAGGCACTAGCTAATGCTAATGCTTTTAAATAAATTGTTTTGTTTGGTTTTCACAGCCAACTGTGACAGATATCATCATCCCCTTTGATTAGGTTGCCCTCTAAGAAAGTGGCAGGGCTTAGAATTGAAACTGCGCTATCTGGTTGCAAAATGCACAAGCGCCCAACTACTTAACTCACTGCTTCTCCAGAATGACATGGAGTGTGACAAGTCATGTTAGTGCTCACTGACTCCAGGTCCCATTCATTCATCCTTCTGGAGTAGTCCAATGGCTGGAGTAGCTCAACAGTTGGCTACAATGACCACATGATGTTGTAACCACCACAATACTGTGCCTCCCAGGAGTCGGGCAAAGTGCCAGTTTCTTTCCCTGTGTTGTCACTAATCTTTACAACACTCTAAGGTCTTTTCTCAAGAGACAGAGGAGGAACTAAGGGTTGGCAACAGGAAGTCATTCACCCAGTGATGCATATTTATAAGCGTCAGAATCAGAATTCCAATCCAGTTTAAAATAGTATTTAACCTTTCAACAAGGTGAAAAAGTAAAGCGTGTGGCTAATAATAACCACTCAATAAATGGTAACTTCTATAACCGCCATCACCACGTTAATAACTGCAGGTTTTAAAACCCTGATGAACTTAAAGAATAAGAAAGAATTAGCTCTACATTTGGTATGCTGAGCAGTCTTATTTGATTACAGTAGGGGAAGGTAAGGTGTGGGCAGAAAATTAGAATATCCTCATTTCCAAGTGGACATTCATTATAATCTCTTCCCACAGTGTTTACAAATTTCTTCTGAATGTTATTAACTGAAAGGCATAGGAGGCAAACGGACAGGTTTGAGCTTCACCTCTTTGGCTACCTGTGATTTACTGTTTGCTAATGAGCAGTCAGGTAGGCAGAAGCTGACAAGAGCGGAGGAGCAGGAAATCTACATGGTTCTAGAACTCACCCACTGGAATCATCTGGGAAGACTCATTGATAATAATCATAATGTAGAACTGCATCTGTTTATTGAGTGCCAATGATCTTCCAGGCACAGGGCTAGTGCCTCCTCATACATTCTGTCCCTCCATTTCAGAGTATTGCCATTAAACCCATTTTACATATTAGAAAACAGAAGCCCAGAAAAGGAAAGTGACTTGCTCATGGTCAATCTGGGCTCTGAACCCAAATCAGTCTAATTTTTATGCTCATGTCTGTCCACTGTAGCGAAAGAATCATTAGTAATTGTCATGAGGGAGGTCACCATCTTATTTTACAGACTTGAAAACTGAGGCACAAAATACCAGAAATGGGTACTTTATACAATGAGTTAGAAATAGATTCAGGTCAGGAATTCTAACTACTCCAATAGCTGTTGTCTTATTTATTTATTACCATTCTTCAAGGAGGGTCCTGTGGGCTGAACCAAGATAAGAAGTAGCAGAAAATGGTGATGTGATGTGTCTCCCCTGATGGGACATCCTACATGTTTGCATTTTAAACATTTTATCTCCTCAACTAGACTCTAAATTTCTTTATGTATATATATATATATTTTATTTTATATTTTTTACACCATTTTTCATTTTTGCACAATGTATGCTTTTTCATCTTGGTTATAGTCCCCATACAATTTCCACCCCCCCTTATTTTGACTGTAATGCCGCCTACCCCCCAACCGGGGGCGTACCGTGTCTCTAGCTACAGTTTCTTGTTGATTTCTATTTTTACTTTATTATAATTAGTCTTTCTCCTGGTCCCTTATTTAGGTTTCCTAAATTCCTGCTATGAGTGAGACCATCCAGTATTTTTCTTTTTCTTTCTGGCTTATTTTGCTGAGCATGATCCCTTCCAGCGCCATCCATGTTGCTGCAAATTGCATGAGTTTATCTTTTTTGATTGCTGAGTAGACTCTAAATTTCCTGAAGGTGGTGATGGGACCTTATATTTCTTGGAATCTCCTAATATTCTGCTTCTTCCTCCACACTGTGCCTGACACAGTCCATCATGCAGAAAATAGTCATGGCATCTGCAGTGCCAAGACTGGTGTGCATTTTTAGTCTTTCTTCAATAAATGCTTATTCATCTGCAGTCAAAGCTGGACCTGAGACAAAGATAAGATCTTCGGTGATCTTTTTGTCTTTCTCTCTTGCATGGGTTCTTTCTACAGAGTTGACAAGAGGACCATCTGATACCCACAATTCTTAGCAACTTTAGTTAAAAGAAACTCTTTTCCAAGAGTTTTTTTGGGGAAAATGTCAGACAGGACTATGATTGACCTAGGTAAGTTATGAACTGATGCCCGAACCAATTATTACAATTGGTTGAACACGATATATCTTGGTGCTTTAGTTGACCAGGCCTCCTTCATATCTGATATCCCTGTGATGGAGGGGAGAAGGTCACCCCCACCTTACCCATAGAGAGAAGGAAAGAAAGGATGCCACAAACAGAAGGAATACTATGAAGGAAAAGCAGTACATCTTCTAAAAGTCTAACCATAGACCAATGCCAACTGTGTGAGCTCAAACAGAACACAGTCTTACCTTCCTGCACCCAAACCCACCATAAAAATAGTTTCTAAAGTAGTGAGAAAGGCAGACAAATAAGCAGACAATCCATCAATACCTTCATGACAAGTGGCAGGAGTAAGGGAAGCCTAGGGAACTGCAGAATATGTTACTTAGAAAAGGCTTTTAGCAGTTGTAAGCATGGATTTAGAAAGATGAATAGGCAGGAACAGGTTGAAGGAGGAGACACAAAGGTCTTCTTAGCAAGTAGGGACTGTAGATATATCTTGTCCAAACTTTTCCTTAGATGCTTTGAGCCCTATTTATTATTCCAGTTGGTGACTGTACTACCTCTGGTTGAACACCACTATTTATAAATACTCATCTCCTCACAAGACAGCTTTTTAAGCAGTTCTCAATCATTAGACAGTTGTTCCTTATGTTGAGCTGAGACCTGCCTGCAGAAATCTTGGTTGATTGATAGACAATGAATGCATCTGGTTCAAAATCTGATTTAGTACCGATACCGGAGCCTCCTGCAGCCAAACAAGTTTGGGGGAACCATCTGCAGTGGCGATATCTGGGATCAAGCCAGCTGTCACAGCCCCACAGCTTGTCTAAGGCAAGTGCAGTGTGGACAGGATTTCCAGTGTAAGGAGTCAGGTGAGTAGTTTCCCTGGAACTAACAGCTGTGCCTGTCAAACTTAACATGCAAAACGCTTCTCCAGGGAGCTTGTTTAAATGCAGACTCAGAGTACTTCCTCTTTAAGTTGTCACTCTGTAGGCTTGGGCTGGGGCCCAGGAACCTACATTTTAAGCAAATCCAGCAGCACAAGTAGTTTTGAGTCAAGTTTGTAGGAACATCTGTGATTCATTTAGAAAAGATACAATCTATTCATTCATTCCTGCATTTACTATATATTGATTGGGTACATACTATGCACCAGGTAGTGCATAGTGCATGCTACCTGCTGGTGATATAGAGATGTGCCTGGATTCGAGGTACTCTTAGAGTCTTTGAAAGAGTCCTATGAGGAAGCTAACACTGTATCTTGTGATTTTCAGTGTGATGCTCCAATGGAACTCTCTTGCATGGGGTGCCCAAATGAGCTTTTTGGGGGTGGTCAGAGCAGGTTTAAAATGGTACTTGAGTTGAGACTTAGCAAAAAAAAAGTTTATTAGGAGAAAGAATGTGCAAAAGCACAGGGATAGAGGCATGCACTATCGTTCTTACATTGTCTTCTTTCATCTGTTATAGATTATGGATAACCCCTAATTTTTCCAAATCAGATTTAATCTTGTACATAATTTTGTACTTTTAAGATTAAAGGATTTTTATTTAATCTTCATGATATAATTTATTTAATCTAATATAAGAGCCCATCAATAAAAATCACTGTTTTATAAGTATGAAGAAATTTTAAAATACTGCTGATTAAATAATTAAAGACAGGGCTTTGGGAAGAGACAGGGGATGGGCCAAGTAGGTAATAGAGGCCAGACTGTGGCATTTAGAAGATGAGTGGGGATCCACTGAAGAAATCAGAGTAAAGGGATGTCATGGCCAGACAGGAATTTTAGAAAGATCCCTGGGGTTGCAATGTGAAGGCTGAACTAGAGAGGGGGTCAGGGCATAGAGCATGAGCTGGGGGAAGACAGCAATACTGGAAGAAGGGCAGAGGCAGTGAAGACCAGGGAGAATGGAATAGAATGGATAGTCATTTCTGAAGGGTCATTTCTGAAGTGGAATGGATTTGATGATTACAGATGTGTGTCATGAGGAAGAGGGAAAAGCCCAGGAGGCTCTACAAATGTCCCCAGCCTCTCCTCTTGCAGGTCGCTGCCTGAAACGCCATCTCGTGTGTAATGGAGACAAGGACTGCTTTGACGGCTCTGATGAGGAAGACTGTGAAGATGTCACTGAAGGTGATTGCAGCCAGTATGACCCGATTCCTGGATCAGAGAGGGCAGCCTTGGGGTAAGCCACTGTCTTCAATCAATTTTGGGGACAGATTGAATAACTAAAGACCAGTATATTTTGTAGGACAGCTCTCATTTGCCCACTAAGGCAGGTTCTCAGTCCATTCAAGCTGCTATACAAAAAAAAATACCCTCCCACTGGGTAGTTTATAAACAACATGAATATGTTTCTCACAGTCTGGGGTGCCAGCATGGTCAGGTGAGGATGTTCTTTCAAGTTTCAGACTTACAGTTGTTTCTTCATAGGGTGGAAGGGAGTTCTATGACTAGGAAACTCTTTTATGAGTGCTCTTTCCATTCTAAAAGGCTTGACCTTCATTACCTAACTAGCACATAAAGGCCCCACTTCCTCACACTGAGAGTTATGGTTTTGGGGGGACTAAATATCAAGCCATAACAAGTGGCTTGCCCTATCCTGCCTACATGCCTTCCCCCCTATGTCTCTGCCCACAGATCTACTTCTTGTTTCACTGCTTCCCATGCCACCACTAACCCTCCTCAGGCAAATTCTATTTCCAAGGCTCGATGAAGCCATGTCTTCCATGAAGGCTTCCATAATGTCTCTGAAAGACTGCTCTTCTCTGACCCAAGCATGCCTCTTAGAAGCCCTGCTCATGGTCTGCTTGACACTGTAGTTGTGGGTCTGACCAGCCTAGGGATACAGTACAAAGGAATGGGCTTTGAGGTGAGAAGGAGTGGGGCTTAAATTTCTCCTTTGCTTTTGCTTACCTACACCTCCCAGTACATAGCACTTTGTTGACTAAGATTCATTTGTCTTGATTCCAACTTCACATCAGGTGTGCAATGTCCAGTTTTGGTTCCTTAATTCATCACACTCTTTACTTCTAAACCTTAATAGACTTAGCTTCCTCTTTCTGGAATTTCCTTCTCCATATTCCTAGCTTGACTAACCCCTTATCTAGTGTGATGGGGCTGAATTATATACCCCTAAAATTCATATGCTAAAGTCCTCATTCCCAGTGTTACTATATTTGGAGATAAGATTATTTTTAAAAAAGATTTATTCATGCATACAAGAATTGGGTGTAGGCCAGAGGTGTGGGGAGTGGGGATTCGCCAGAGACAGAGTGGGTAGCCAAACAGGCAGATCCACTGAAATACACTGCTGAGGGGATTGGCAAGCGAGACAGCAGAGGTTTGCTGTGCAATGAGGGTTAGCTTCCTGGCCAGGGATAGAACTCATGCCACAGTGGCTGGTGATAGCTTGACAGCACTGAAACTTAAATCTCTGCACCACCATCCTGGAGATGAGATCTTTAAGAAGGCAATTAAGGTGAATGTGGTCATCAGGGTGGGGCCCAAACCTGATAGGATGGTGTCCCTAAGAAGAGGAAGAGACATCAGAGAGCTCTCTCAACTAATACACAGAGACAAGGCATGTGAGGACCCAGTGACAAGGTGAAGAGAGGTCTCACCAGAACCATCACCTTGACCTTAAGCTTCTAGCCTCCAGAACTGTGAGAAAATAAATGTCTACTCTTTGAATATCCAGTCTATGCTATATTTTTATGACAGCCCCAGCTGACTAAGGCAACTAGGCATTACCTTCTCTAGGTGGTCTTCTTGACACTATTTAGGATGGCTTATTACCCTCTCCTTGCTCCAAGAATCCCTTGTGTGTTCCCCTCCCCCAGCACTTCTCCAGCAGGGCTGAGGCAGCTGTCGGAGTGTTCACCTGATCAGGCTGAGACGTCCTCTCTATCTCTGCCTTCCAGCACCCAGCACAGGCCAAGTAAAATAGTGACTCTTGGCATTGCCATTCCCTGCCATCTTGTCTTTTTCTTGGATCTTGCCCACTTACTTGAATATAAACTTTGAGGACAGAGGCAGCTTCTGACTCATTTTTTCCATCTCTGCAGTCCCAATGTCAGAGTTTTCCCTATAATGGCTCCTCACCAAGGGTTGAATTGAAACCAATCAATGTAACCAAATAGATCTTTACAGATAGGAAATGAGCTGCAGCTCCCTCAGGATCAGATGCATGTCCTGGGAGATGCTACTCCCATTCGCTGTGGTCTAATCACCCTGAGGTCACAGAAGCCACCTGCCAGAGGTTGCAGGGTTCCCTAGGTGCTTGGAGACATACACACAGGAAAAGATGATCAAGTTCCATCTTCTTTCATTCCAATTGTATTATTTTTCTTGGACCACCTATAACAAAGTGTTTGTAACAAACTGGGTGGTTTAAGCATCAAAAGCTTCTTTCCTCATAGCTCTGGAGGCTAGATTGCAACCAAATTAGATTATTCTTGTAAACAAAATTGCAATGAATATCATTGGACACATGTCTTTATATATGTGTGAATATTTCTGCATAGATTTCCAAAAAGTGAGATTTCTCTGACTACATCTTTTCCATTTTCACTAGGGCTTTTGCAACCAGCTTTCCCCAATCCATGTTAGCTTAGTAACCTCTGCCTAGAGTTGAAGGCATAACCTTAGGGTTTATTATTCCTTTGAGTTTTTGATTGACCCACTAGAAAGCCTGTATTCAAAAGCTACAAGCAGAAATTTATTTAGTGGGTAGGAAGATAGGAACTACAGGGCTGGGTAAAGGGAAGGAATAAAGATTTTAGCATCAAAAGATCTAGAAAAAAATTTAGCTTGAGTATAGACAAGTTACTTAATTTTTCTGAGCTTCAATTTCTGCATTTGCAAAATTGTCATGAGGTTGAAAGCTAATGTCTGCTCAATGTCCGATAGAGTGTGTGTTCAATTCATCAAAGCTTTTATTACATCACTTCCACTAATGCGAAGAAAGAGATGGAAAAAGGAAGAGAAAAGGGAAGCTAAATTACAATGAATTGCTACTATATGCCAGGTGCTCTGTAATTATCCATTTATTCTATCAAGATAGGTTTTATTCACTGTTTTTCTTTGCTCATCTTCTGCCTTGTGCCTTTTCACAGAGGGTGCAAACATGGGCTGTGCTATGCCAGGGGTAATCACTGAATGCCACAAGAACATGAGGAAGGAACGGCTGTCTGTTCAGGAGTCTCAAAGGCCATACAAAAGATGTACCTTTCTCTTGGGTCTTAGATTGACTAGGAGTCTGAAAGACAGACAAAAGCAATCATTTTATTACCTATAGCATAAGGTGCTTTGATCATCAGGTCTTGCCAACTTAAATGTTTTTGTTCAGTTAAATATCTCTTTAAAAATATTAAATTTGTATTTTATCTGCTTAACTTTTTTTTTAAACCTAACTATGGTAAAAACTGTCCATGATATAAAACATGGAACTTAAACAGAAAGATTTGAAATTACCCAGAGAAGAAAGTATGGGAAAATACTTCTGGAATGTATGGGGACTAGAAGAATCATTTATTGAATATGTAAAGTGTACTATCTACTTTACTTCTGTTTTACTTTAATTCCACCACTTACACTTCACAAAACCTGAGAGGTAGTTTTATTATAGCTGTCTTCAAATGAGGAAAATGAATTTCAAAAAGTTTCTAGAATGTAAACAAAGTCACACAGATAGAAACTAAACAGGAGTCTCCCTGAATTTCAAAGTATGCATCCTCCAACATTCCATCTACCTGAGGACAGTGGCCTTTTGAGATTTCCAACTTAGCACTATAAGTTACATACAATATTTCAAATTTATTAATATTTTAGCATCAGAGTCCTTTTCTGAAATAACACAGAGGAAAGTGCCAACATTTTAGTGCATAATATATGCTAAGTACTATTATCATTCCTTTGCATGTTTAACTTAAATTTAACTCTACCAGGGTGGTAGTATTAACTGCTACTCACAAGTGAATAAATTGTGGCACAGAGAGACTAAGATCACACAGTTATATGTGGCAGTCTGAGTCAGGCCCAGACTGTCTGATCCTGTGCTTGATTTTTGTGCCCAATCTTCTCTATAACTCATTCAAAAAATATTTATGGGTATCTGCTATGTGGCAGCACTGTCCCAGATGCTCACTGGAGCCATCTATCTTTTCAGGTTACTTGGGAACTTGGGAACCAGGTCCAACCCCTTCTGTCTCCCTTTGTTATCCAAAGTGGCCTTTTAGGTACTTCAAGGAACCCTGGGGTTCCGAAGAGCATAACTTGAGAAACCACTGCTCCAACCACCAAGTAAATTTTCTACAGCATATTTTATGCTCTCTTGGCCTTTCCAGTGCTCTCTCCCAGAAGCTGCCTGCCTTTTCAATGTAGGTATAATATCCTGACCCAGGAAGAAAGGCAGAGTGTGTACGATGCCAGGTACTATGGGGGACAATGCGAGACGGTGTACAACGGCGAATGGCGGGAGCTTCGCTATGACGCTGCCTGTGAGCACCTCTACTATGGAGAAGATGAGAAGTACTTCCGGAAACCCTACAACTTCCTGAAGTACCACTTTGAAGTAAGTCTGAACAGGCAGACTGAGAGGCTGCCGTAGGCTGTTGACAGAGAGGGAAAGATGCCTTGCTTCAAAGAATCAGTGCTGAGAGGAAATATGGCTGCCCACCTGCTGAGCCTCATCTCCATTCAAAATCAATAAAATATATTTGGGGCCCTGTTCTCTGAGTTGGGAGTTGAAGACTTATTTCCAAGTACTGGCTCTGTTAGAATATAAGAACTTGAGCAGCTCACTGCTCCACTGAGTCAGTTTCCTAATAGATAAAATGGGGGTGGGGTGCAGTGGGGTTGCAGGATGGCAGGTAGCAGGGCAGGGATCTGAGACCCATGTGTCCATTTCACCAAGAGAGTGCTACACCGATCACTTTCATATTGTGGCTTTCTGTATATAATTTTTTTTTTTTTTTTGTAGAAAGGGCTCTGCTGTTTAAAAGTACTCACTAACTGCTGATGGTCCCTAGCATTCTCTCCATCTATAAAATTCTGTGGTCCCTTTGTCACTGAGAGCACTACATAGTCATAGCCAGTTTCCAGTCTGCTCCTGACCATTTATTTCTTTAAACCTCACTTTTGGGTGAGTCATCTATATTACAAACTTTCTTGGATGTTTACCATGTGTCAGATCTGTTCTTTCTAAATAAAAGCTCCCATTTCATCCTCATAACAACACACTGGGATAGCTATGATCACAGCTCCATTTTAGATATACGAAGAAGAAGAAGAAAACCTACAGAAACTTAGAGGGATAAAGCATCAATTTCAAAGGGGTGGAGACAAGATCCAAACCCAGATCTATGTGAACTAATAGATAAAATGGGGGGGGGGGTTCATCTTATATCTATATACTCATATTCATTACATCTTTGCACATTCTATCTGTAGAGATGATAGGATTCTAGGACTCTGAACAATTATCTAGTCATATACCTCCACTTCCAAGTTTTTCAAGAGAAAAATATTGACAGATGTTAAGGTCAGGCTTACAGAGCCTGTTTTTAAGAAGTTGGTTCCCCTGATCCCACCATCAAGCCTATGGTAAGCCAAGCTGGAAAATGTAGATGATGCCATTGTCCTAACATCAAAGGCAGTCTAGGGTCTACATGTCAGGTGAGATAGAGTAGGCTCTGCTTTGGCAACAAATGATTCTGAAATGTCTGCAATTGAAAGCAACAATGTCCTATGTGCGCTATCTGTCCATTCTGAGGTAAGAAGAATCTCTGATCATCAAAGCCAGCAGGGTCCAAATAAATGAAGGCTCCATTTCCACACATGCTCTCTTGGTCACAGAGCAAACTTCCTGTGGGCTTTTAACCCTTTCTTCCTCGGCTCAAGCAAGGCATAAGATCATGCATTAATTCAAGTTGGCAGAGAACTACAACTCTACTGTGGCTCTAGAATGAAATAAGCAAACATTTGTAGATACTATGAAAGCATACCACTGCCTAGAGCTACTCTCCTCTGCAACTTCCCTGCCCCTTTGCTCACAGGTCCATGCCTGCACATAATTTTCCATATTTTTGCATTGCTGAGTCAAGGCATCTTCTCTACAGAAAGAATGAGCCAGTTGGAGAGAAATCCAGGCTCAGATTGACATACCATTTTATTAGAATCATCTCTGTGTGTGTGTATTGAAATAGTTTGGTGGTACCTAAACACAAACTAAACATTGCTGTATTTTCTGTTTTATAGTATCTATCTAATATGAATATTAGCCTTTTTTATTTAAATATTTTATTTTATATAATTCTTACATCATTTTTCATCTTTGCACAATGTATGCATTTTCATTTTGGTTATATTCCCCATACAATTGCACCCCCCCCTTATTTTGACTCTAGTCCTTCCTTTCCCCGCCCCTCCCTCCCCCCACCCTCAAGGTGTCTCTGGTTTATAGTTGCTTGTTGATTTTTATTTTTACTTTGTATTGATTAGTCTTTTTCCTGGTCTCTTATTAGGTTTTCTAAATTCCTGCTATGAGTGAGACCACAAAGTATTTTTCTTTTTCTTTCTGACTTATTTCTCTGAGCATGATCCCTTCTAGCTCCATCCATGTTGCTGCAAACTGCATGTGTTTATCTTTTTTGATTGCTGAGTAATATTCCATTGTGTCTATGTACCACATCTTCTTGATCCAGTCATCTATTTTTGGGCATTTGGGTTGTTTCCAAAGCTTAGCTATTGTAAACAGTGCTGCTATAAACATAGGGGTGCAGGTGCCCTTTGGAATTACTGTTTCTGTGTCATCTGGGTAAATACCTAGGAGTGGAATTGCTGGATCATATGGAAGCTCTATGTTTAGTAGGTCAAGAAATCTCCACACAGCTCTCCATAGTGGTTGGACCAGTTTGCACTCCCACCAGTAGTGCAGGAGAGTTCCTTTTCTCCACAACCTCGCCAACCTTTGTTGTTGCTATTTTTTTAATATGTGCCATTCTCATTGGTGTGAGATGGTATCTCATTGTAGTTTTGGTTTGCATTTCCCTGATTACAAGTGATGTTGAACATTTTTTCACATGCCTGTTGGCCATTTGCATTTCTTCTTCAGAGAAGTTTCTTTTTAGCTCTTCTGCCCATTTTTTGACTGGATTATTTTTTTTGTTTTTGTTGAGTCTCATCAGCTCTTTGTAGATTTTTGTGATCAGTCCTTTATTGTTAGTGTTGTGTGCAAAAATTTTCTCCCAGTCGGTGGGGTTTCTCTTTGTTTTGGTTATTGTCTCTTTTGCTGTGTAGAAGCTCTTTAATTTGATGTAGTCCCAGCTGTTGATCTTTGCCTTCACCATCACTGCTTTGGGTGATGTGTCTGTAAAGATGTCTTTGAGGTGCATGTCCTGTAGTGTTTTGCCTCTATTTTCTTCTATGTATTTTATGGTTTCAGGTCTTATGTCTAGTTCTTTAATCCATTTTGAGTTGTTTTTTGTGCATGGTGTGAGGTAGTGGTCAAGCTTCATTCTTTTGCATGTAGCAACCCAGTTTTCCCAGCACCATTTATTGAACAAACTTTCTTTGCTCCGGTGCATATTCTTTGCTCCTTTGTCAAATATTAGTTGACCATAAATCTTTGGGTTTATTTCTGGATTTTCAATTAGATTCCATTGGTCTGTGTGTCTGTTCTTGTTCCAATACCATGCAGTTTTGATGATTATGGCCTTGTATTATAGTTTGAAGTCTGGGAGTGTGAAGCCTCCATTCCCTTCTTTATTTTTCAGGAGAGCTTTGGCTATAGAGGGTTTTGGTGACTCCATATGAATTTCATCAATAATTGTTCTATTTCTTTGAAGAATATCATTGAAATTTTTATTGGAATAGCATTGAATCTATATATTGCTTTTGGTAGGATGGCCATTTTGATGATGTTAATTCTTCCAATTCATGTGCAGGGGATGTCTTTCCATTTCTTTCTGTCTTCTTCTATTTCTTTTAACAGTGTTTTATAGTTTTCTTTGTACAGGTCCTTTACCTCTTTTGTTAGATTTATTCCCAAGTATTTGATTTTTTTGTTTCGATAATAAAAGGGATGGTTTTTTAAATTTCTTCTTCTTCAGATTTATTGTTTGTGTATAGGAAAGCTATGATTTTTGCATGTTGATTTTGTATCCTCCCACTTTACTAAACTGATTGATTAGTTGAATTAGTTTTTCTGTGGAGTTTTTGGGGTTCTCTATGTATATTATCATATCATCTGCAAATAGTGATGGTTTGCCTTCTTCCTTCCCTATTTGGATTCCTTGTATGTCTTTCTCTTGTCTTATTGCTCTGGCTAGGACTTCCAGTATTATATTGAATAGCAGTGGTGAGAGTGGACATCCTTGTCTTGTTCCAGATCTTAATGGAAATGCTTTCAGCTTTTCACCATTGAGAATGATACTGGCTGTTGGCTTGTCATAGATGGCCTTTATGATGTTGAGGTATGTTCCTTGTATCCCAAGAATTTCAAGGGCTTTTATCATGAATGGGTGTTGTACTTTGTCGAAAGCTTTCTCAGCATCTATTGATATTGATATCATATGGTTTTTGTATTTCTTTTTGTTGATGTGTTGGATGACATTGATTGATTTTTGGATGTTGAACCATACTTGTGTCCCTGGAATGTGTTTCCTGGAGACAGCAAAAGGTTGGGTTTTGTTTCTTAATCCAGCCTGCAACTCTGTGTCTTTTTATTGAAGAGTTTAGTCCATTTACATTTAGAGTTAATATTGATATGTTAGCATCTGTATTTGCCATGTGTTTGTCTTTCCTCTGGTTTTATTTATTTATTCTTTTAATAATTTTTTTTTGGCCTTCTTTCATTGTTATTCATCCTTCTATTGGTTCTGGCTTGAGGATTCCTTGTAGTATTTTTTGGAGTTTGGGTTTAGTCATAATGAATTTCCAGAGTTTCTGTTTGTCTGGGAAGGTTCTTATTCTTTCTTCACAGAGGAAGGAAAGCTTTGCAGGATAGAGTATTCTTGGTTGGCATTTGTTGACTTGGAGTCTATTGACTATGTCCCTCCACTCTCTCCTTGCCCATAATGTTTCTTCAGAGAAGTCTGATGTCAGTCTGATTGGTTTTCCTTTGAATGTTATCTATTTCTTCCCTCTTGTCAGCTTCATTATTTTTTCCTTGTCTTGGGTACTTGGGAGCTTAACTATTATGTGTCTTCCTGTATTTTTCCTTTCGTCATGGAAGTTTGGTGTTCTTCTTGCTTCTTGTATGTCTATTTTCAGCTCCTTCATGTTTGGGAAGTTCTCTTCAATTATTTCCTTGAATATTTTCTCTGTTCCTACTTCTCTCTCCTCTCCTTCTGGTATTCCTATAACTCTTATATTTCCTTTCCTCATGGAGTCAGATAGTTCCTGAAGTCTTTCTTCAGTCTTTTTTCCTTCATACTTCTCTACTTCTCTTTCCTTTTCTGTTTTGGTTCTTTTTATTTCTGAGTCTTCGAGAGTACTTATTCATTCTTCCATTTCATTTATTCTGCTTTCATTGCTTTTCCCAGAGTTCTTTAGTGCCTCCATTAATTCTTTGATCTCCTGCATTTCTTTTACTTCCCTCTTTAGGGACTCAATTTCATTCTTCTGATCATTGATTATTTTTCCCTTATCATTGTTTTCCTTTATGACTTCTGTCAGTTTTTTAATCATGGCAATTTTAAATTCTCTTTCTGGAGGGCTCAGAAGTTCTTCCAAGTCACTGTCATTGCCATCTGGTGGGTGGTTTTCTTTTTGTGATGTGTCTTTCCCCTGAGGAGTTGCTAGGTTGCATGTAGTTTTTCTTCTCCCTGCTGCCTGTCTTCTAATTTGCCGTATGCATTGGGACACTGTGCCGCTTGTACTGGCCAGCATCTTTTTGGTGTGCTCTTTGTGGGGTTTCGGAAACTGGTGCTCCAAACGAGTCAAATACTGTTATGCCAGAAGTCTAGTGAGGCAATGGTACTTTGAGTATGTTAATGGTTGCTGTCACAGAATATTTCCTCCTTCTGTGTTTAATTACAAAAGTATGTCTTGAAGTCCCACAAACTTCCCTAGAGGTGGGACAGCTAGATTGCACTCTGGGTTCCAAAAAAACTGGATCCCCCTCTAGGTTCCAACTTCCTGCCAGGCGGGACCAGGTTTGTGGGGGCCTTCAGCTCACCTCTGACTGTGCAGGGAACCTTCCCCCTCTGGCTCCTTGGGGAGATTTCTGCCACTTTCAAGCAGTCTTTATTGAAGAAAGGTCCCTGTTCTAAGATGATGATGTGGGGACACACTCCCCTGCGTGCCCAGTCTGCCCCAGCTGTGGGTGGCCGCTCCCCCTGTGGGCTTGAACTGCTGACCAGAAGGGGCATGGCATGGGCGGACTTCCCAGATCACCTCTGGCTCTTCCAGGAGCCTTCTGCCAGTTTCAAGCAGTCTTTATTGAAGAAAGGTCCCTGTTCTACAAAGGCGATGCGGGTATGCACTCCCCTGCACGCCCGGTCTTGCTCCAAGCTTTATTTCCCTCCTTACCCCCGTTTGCATGGCCCACCCTCTCTCAGCTCCTGAGGGTGTTTTTGTGATCCCTGGTTTCCAACTATAGGGTGTTGGTGATTTTTTTCTGGTTACTAGGTGGCGCCAGAGATCTTTCCTAGTGTCCTTCAGGAACTGTTTTTAACCCCATGGATTGGGGGAATAGAGTGGGAGTGGCGTGGAGAGCCTCAATGGCGTGGGGGTGCTGTGTCTACCTTGTGCCCCACGGTCGTGGGGATCCCATGGCCTGAATTTCGTGCCCCGGGTCTCAGTTCCCAAAGCCCTCAGGTCCAGGATGTGGGCTGTAGCCCAGTTCAATGTCTGCAGAAATGGTGCCTTTTGCACCCCACTCCCTTGTCTGGGCGCCTGCCTGGTTTCTGATTACTCAGTGAGGGACATTCACCTCAATGAGGGCCCCCCCACCCCCGTGCGTCTCCCCGCAAGCCTAGGTCACAGGCACAGGGACCTGGGCAGCCCCGATCTGCGTATGCTTTTCAAGTGCGCAGCTGCTTTTCCGCACAAGCTTACCGGCTGGCCTTGGGCTGTTTGTAGGTCTCCTGGGAGTCTTTATTTTTCTCTAATAGCGACCAGAGCCATTCGCTCACCTCCATGGCGAATCCTGTATGGTTCTCCACAATTCCAGTTCACAGGGTGCAGTGGTTGAAATAGTTCCTTTCCACTCACAGTCCTGCTTGATGCGTGGTTTGTTCTTGTTCATTGTTTTAGGTTTTTTTTTCCCTCCTTTCTGTTGGTGGGAGAGTGCTGACTTTGTGGGTGGGGTTGGGTAGCAGGGTTCTGAGCTTTCCTCCCTTCTAATACTCTTTTATGGCAACTATCTTCTTTGGGCAGTTTGCCAGAGTCGCCCATTTATCTTCCATGTCCCAGTTCTCGCAGGGACCTGCCGCTTTTCCTCCCTATTAACTTTTTTTTTATGGGAGGTCTTAGTCGCAGCGTTTTCTCACCACTATGTTGATAATGTCCCTGAAGATTAGCCTTTTAAAAATTATTTATAAGCCTCAGTGACCACACCTGAGGGGAGAAATCCTATATTGTCAAGCTATTAACAAGGATGTAAAACAATGGTACTTCATTTTAAAGATTAAATAAAAAATACAAGTTATTTGTAATAATTGAAAAATTGAGGTATTTTATAAAGCAATGATATTAAATACGAATCAGCTGACAACTGTTCATTTCTTTTCAGGCCCTGGCAGATACTATAATCTCCTCAGAATTGTACGATGATACAAATGACCTTCTATCTAAAGTAAGAAATGACAATTCTGCGTCTTTTGGAGTGACCTTTGGCATAGGCCCTGAAGGTTCCTCTGTCCAGTTGGAAGCAGGCATACATGGATCAGAAAGCAGATCCCTCATGAAACAGTTGAACCAGTACAATAATAAGGTACTGAAGCATAAAGCCTGTGTCACACAGTATTCCATAATCCACACTGAACACGTATTACCTTAATTGCATTAAAAAGTACAAGTAGTAATTGAACCTTAATTTGGTTGTATAATTGGAAATGTCTGATCAGTGGTAATCATGTTTGTTTTTCTTATTACGCTTTTGCACGCAGAATCATCACAAAGGGAATAAAATTGAATGATAAGACTAACTCTTATCACTTCACCCCATCCTTTTTTTTGTAGCTACCTGGAGCACATAGGGGAATACTTTGAATGGTAATGTCTTAAAAGGAAATAGTCAGGCCCTCTAAACCAGAAGGGAATGCTCCAATGCAAGGCTTGCTTTTCTAACTAAACTGAAGGCCCAGTAGGCCTAGTCTTTCATATACTGCACAAACATTCACCACTATCCCCTGTTTATACTGAGTGGCCAGTCAATGCATCCCTGAGGAAAGGACATTACCTCAGCTGACTGGTCCTCATGAAGGGAGGTAAAGTTAACAGAAGGGTGTTGTAGGTATGGAAATCAGCATGTGCCAAGGCCTAGAAATGAGAGGACACCCCATACCAATTTGGGATTGAAAGCATACTTGCAGGGTGGAAGTATGGGGTGCAGGGTGGAAGGGTAAGAAGGCATCTCAAGGATAGAGCAGCCATCAGAAGTCAGAGAAATAAAATGATTAGAAATTTACCCAAAGCTCAAGAACATTGATATCAAAACTAGATTTAGTTGGGGCTCAACACAATAGTTTGGATAATGAAAATAGTTATAAAGATTAACTTCAGAAATGTAAGTTGCATTCTGGAGCTTTGCCACAAATTAGCTTAGCTTTGAAGGGAAAGTATCACTATGAGATATGTCTATTGATTATTAACATGGATTTCTGTGATAGCAGGTGGCCTCTTCACTAAGTTTCCACTTAGTGAAGTGGAAACTTTGGATCTAGGTTTACATTACCTAGAACTAATGCCTATATATGATGTTTTCCTTTCCCTTCCTTTTATTTTATTTTATTATTATTTTTTAGATTTTATTTTTATTCATACAAGAGCTGGGGTTTAGGCCATATGCACGGGAGGGTGAGAGGATTCACCAGAGACAGAGCAGGGAACTGAACAGGCAGATTGACGAAATACACTGCTGAGGGGATCAGGGGGCGAGTCAGGAGAGGTCTGCTCGCCATGTGGGTTGCTCCAAGGTCGGCGAGGATTGAACCGGCACTGCAGAGGCTGCGGACAGTTTCACAGCGCTGTGCTCAACCGCTTGCACTCAACCACCTGCACTACCAGCGAGGCCCATGATGTTTTCCTTTTAAATCAATGCAATGTTACCCTGGTCCTATCTATTTTGGTTATATTAGGATCTTGCTTTCCTTTATTAATTATCAGGACAAGAGTACCACTAGAAAATAAGCTCGATGAAGGCAGGGGGCCTATCTCTTTAAGAGCATACCCTCTTCACTTAGCATACTGCAGCAGATTATAGGAATGTATAGCTATATATTCAACAAATTAAATACATGTGTAATATTGGCAATTTACCATGTTACCGAAAACATTCCTAAGCATGATTTTTAATGTATACCTAATACTTGTATAGCAGATTGCATAATGCAGTGCTTTAATTAAAGCAGGGAGAAACATGAAGGTGAGAATGGACTAGGGGAGAAGAGAGGTAGGGAGAGAGGAAAGAGTCCATTGTGATAACTAACTCAGATGAAAGCTGCGTACTTAACCTGGATTGGGGCAGTAAGAACACAGATGGAGGCAGGGGAAAAGCAGCAAGGTACATACTGGTGTGTAATATATGCTTATAAAATAGCTCTCTATCATAAATGTTTATGCCCATATATTTATATGTAAATACATATGTGTATACACTCACTCACACACACATTTGCCACTTCCTATATGCTGACCTTTTGCACTATCTCTTGATAAAATATAAGCTTCTTTGCTTTCCCCCCCTCATTTAATGGGGTTTTTTGTTTTTGGCAGCAATATCAATTCATGAGAATTTTCACAAAAGTGCAAACTGCTAATTTTAAGATGAGGAGGGAAAATATCATGCTGGATGAAGGAATGCTGCAGGCATTAATGGAGCTCCCAGACCAGTACAATTACGGCATGTATGCCAACTTCATCAATGACTACGGTACCCATTACATAACTTCTGGATCTATGGGTGGCACTTACGAATATATCTTGGTACTTGACAAAGAAGAAATGAAATCAACTGGTAAGTAGAACTGAAGCTTTACGCACACAGTAGTTTAGTTTTCTGAGCAATGACTATGAGCCTTACATGATCTCTTTTAGTCTTCAGAACAACTTTTGAGTAGCATTGGTATTTCCAGGGAATTAAGTCCAGAAAGTGAAATATCTTGCTATACCATGAACAGGACTTGACTCAGACTTGGATGAGTTTTCCATTATACCACAGTTACTTCTTCAATAAAAAGGAGACTTTGGAATTTTATTCATAATGTTAAAACTGATTTTAAATGCAGATTCTCGACTAATGGAACTGCCCTGCAATTAATTAGTCAGAAACCTGGAGTCACCCCAGATTCCTCCTCTCTTTCACCCTTTTCCAACTTAAGGTTCTTCAGTTATCTCTCCTATCATGGTCTCTTCAGCACCACTGTCCCAACAGTCACAGGGGGGACTTTCATCTTTCACTTTTTACTGCATTGGGTAAATGGTACCTTGGGGAAAGCTCACCCCTTTCCAGCCCATTCCTGACAATCCAGTCACCATCAGAAGGGCCTTGCTACTACTCATGGATCTGATGATTTTACATCCTTGCCTAATTTCCTGAATGGCTAAGAACAAAAATCTAAACTCCTTAGCATGACATCAACAACCTTCATGGTCTCTATGTGTGGACAATAACCGGCAGCATCAGCATCACCTGGGAACCAGTTAGAAAAGCAAATTCTTGGGCTTCCATGTCAAACCTGCTGAGTCAGAAACCCTGGGAACAAGGCTGTGCTTTCTGTGCTTTAATATGGCCTACAGGTGGTTCTAATGCCCCCTGAGGTTTGGAGCCATCCACTCAGTCAACAAATGAGTAGAAGGATAAGAGATCTATTCACATTTCAAAGCCAAGTCCCAGTTCCCAGTTTCAAGTCATTTTCCCCAACTGTACCAGTTCAGATTATCCATTTCCTTACTTCAACATACTCATATATTCCACACTGTTTAGTCTTTAAAGATAATGTTCTAAATGTTCAGATTTTTCACTTCATCTAGACAGCAAGATCTTTGAAAGTGTCAAGTTTGACACTTTTCTTTAGCACTCAACACAGGAGTTAGAGCCTAATAAGTGTGCTGAAAAAGACATGGAGTTTTAAAGGGAGCATCAATTTAGATTTCTGGCTGGGGTCATTCATTCCTTTATAATTCAAATATCTAGTGAGCATCCTGTATGTGCCAGGGGTACAATGGTCAGTTAACCTAAATGTGGTTCCTGTACTCTTGTAGCACTGTACTTTTCAAATGTCAAGTTGCAACCCAAAAGTGAATCCTGACAATCAATGTATGGATAATACACAAAATTTTGTACAGCAAATGATAGGACAGAAAATATCACAATGGATTGCAGGCACAGAAGGCACTGTAGGCAGTAGAGAGAAGTTACTGCTTCAGGAAACATTTTCCATCAAATAAAGTATGCATATATACATAGTGAGTCATGCTATAAATAGTTTAGCATGCATCAATATTAAAAAAGAGTTTGAAAACTGTAGTGAGTGGGTCATTTAAGGAAAAAGGAAAACACACTGACATTTGTTGAATACCTACTCAGTTCCAGGTGCTGTTACCTATAGCCTCACTTCATTTTCTTGCCCTCTAACTTAGAGGTTGGTGTTGCCCTGGTTTTAACCCTAGAAATGCTGAGGCTCCTCATGGAGGTTAGTTACCTTGCCCAAAGCTCCAGGAAGCTGGAGTCAGAATGTTGGACCTATGTCTTTCTGCCACGTGGTCACGTCGAGCCCTTCATTTGGGCTTGGTGCTGGATTACTAATTAATTGCCTGGGGTTATCTCATGGCCCCTCCTCTTTAAAATCTGCAAGGCGGAAATGGGCTTCCGATGTGGTTAATATTCAAAAGGAGCCCACCACCAAATTGTCCCAGGGATAATTACCTCAGCTCTGTTTATAGAAAACCATATGTTGATAATAGCACAATTTGCTATTTGTGAAGAGCTGATTTTCTATAAATCTGGAAAGTTAGTGTTGCTTTTCTATAAATATGGAAATGTGCTAATCATCACCTCATCTGTTGGAGACCGCTAATAAATCAGAATGTCATTTACATATTAACCTACAAAGAACAAAAACATCTACCTTCTTTCCCTTTGACAGATAGATAATGCACATCCTCTCTCCATGTTTGATGTTTGCCTAGTTTCCCTTGTCTCTTCCCCTTTCTCTTTATTTTTCATTTCTCCTCCATCTTTTCCTACTGTCTTATTCTCAGTGATCTCTGACTTTAATAATATTTATGCTTTATTAAGTGCTTATTTCTGACAGACACCCTGTGTGGTACATGTTCATAGACACGGAGAACTAAGCTTGGCGTGGGATGATTTAAGTGAACACATATGCTGGTTTGCTCTAGGGAAATCCTTTGTCCTTGATTTGTTTCAGCTCCTCGGGTTCATCCCAGGGGATATACGAGGCTGTTTTCTTTTAATGTGTCCTTTGGTAAAATGCTTCTCTGCCAGCATGAAGCCACGCATCAAAAATCAAGGGAATTCTTGGATGTTGGGAGGTGGTGTTAGACTTTAGTGGGACTCTAGATTCCCCTCCATGGCTGAGGATGACAGTTTTCTACCTTCTACAGAAGTCAGGATGGCTTTGAGCTTGCATTTCTGAATTTGGATGTTTTTTCTCCTTTATCCCTTCTTTAGAACTCTTATTATTTGTATCAAAGTATGACAAAGAGAATAGTGTGTTCACTATTCTGGTGTCTGTGGAGTCTGGACCCATTACAGAACTGATCATTTACCTTGGACAGGTCAAGTACTGCAGTGACACTGTTTCGCCATCTGTCTTGTGTGCGTCCTTGTGCACACACCACGCTTTCGGCCTCCAGGGCTCTTCCCTGTATTGTCAACTTCATAGACTTCAACTCATCCTTCTCCATCTGGACAGGCATCCCCACCTCTGCAAGACCTGCCCTGACTCCTTCTCCCATAGTTTTGTTTGTTCATGAATTCATTCATTCAATCAATTGAGTTGTCTCATGTGCCAGGCCCATCAATCAACATGGTGCCTGTTTGGGAAGCTCACTATCTAATACAGGAAACTAAGTAAACAGGTGAAAATCCAGATGTCATTCTTGGCTCTTCCTTTCTGGCCCTCATCAGGGAGACATATCAAAATTACTTCTCAGGCACACATGGCAGCTGTCCTTACCAGCTCGATGACCCTTGAACTAGTCTATACTTTCTCACCTGGGCACTGCTACATTATGACACTGTCTTTTCTTCTCTTGCTTGCTTGCTTCCTTCTTCTTTTCCTTTTCTTTTGACTTTTATTTTCCCTTTCTTTCCTTCCTCCCTTTTTTCCTTTTGTTGCTCTTGCCATTATTGTTCTTTTAACACCAACACACATTTATTTTAGTCTCTAGTGTTGTTAGTAGCTGTTCTCTGTGTCTGGGCCACCTGCTCTCTGATGTTTGCATAGCTAAATTCTAATCATTCAGATCTCAAATGTCACTTTTCAGACAAGCCTTGCCTGGTAACATAGTCATATCCCTCTTTGTTAGAGCAGCCTCCTTTAAGAAATCACAATTTACTTAGTAGTCACTATGCTACTGTAGTTATTAGCTTATTGTCAATCTCAACTTTCTAGAAAACACATTCTATGAGATCAGGGACCTTATCTGTTCTGTTCACTGTTGTATATTAATTTTATAGGACAATGCCTTGCTAATGTTGGTTCAGTGAGTGAATGAAATGATCAATATGTACTTGCAAACTGTGATAAGAGCTATATAGAAAATGAACAGGTTGTGGAGACTAACTTTTGGGGCAGAGGAGATGCTTTGCTGAGGATAATCTGGCAAAGTCTCTTTGAGAAGGTGATATCTAGACTAAGATGTAATTCAAAGGATAGAGGAGATTCCAAAGACAACTGGAAGGTGTGTTGGGCAGATGGACAGCTTGGTGTATTGGGAGTTGAAAGCAGGCATGTGTTGCTGAAGCCTTGTGGATAAGGGGAGAACAGCAGGGCCAGGGGTTGGAAGAAATCTAGAGAGGTGTCAGAGGGTCTTGCCCACCTTAGTAAGCAGTATGGAGTCTACCTGCAGGGTTACCAGCAGGGTGGTGCTTGGTCTAATATGAATCAGCAGTCCATTTCACTGCACATAGCACAGATCAGAGGGGAGAGAATGCATTCAGGGAGAAGAGTTAGAAGGAAAAAAGATGGAGATGGAGAATATGATGTGTTTGATATATATATATATATTTTTTTTTTGAAAGCAGAATTAAGATAATTTGCAGGTGGACAGGGTGTGGATTATAAGGTATAAACAACTCCTTCCTCTAACTTATATTTCCACCACACACACACAGTGCTGATAGGTGAGGACATGATGAGTTTGCCTGGGGACTGCCAGTGTCCTGGTAGAGACACCCTTGAGGCATTTGGGAATATGACAGGGATTCTGAAGCCAAAAGAAGACTCTGGAATCTATATATTTTAAGTTCAAATATTATTCTAATTTGTCATATATTTGTTAATATATTATTCTAATTCTATTTGTCTCTACTAGACAATGAATGTTTATATACATGTACTGTGCTTTTTCTCCTGTGGTATTTTTTGTTTCTGGCACAGGGCTGGACCTGTTGTGGGTGCACGGAGAGTATTTGTTGAGTTGAACTGAGCTGGTCCCACTTCTCAGATACTTGTTCTCCACTTGTACTCTGCTCTCTTCTTCCACCTGACCCTAATGGGTGGCCCTGGTCTAGGAAGCGTTCTTAGCACTCACTCCCTGTTTGGTCATCATCCTCACTTCCCCCTCTCCTTCCGTTCTCCCTTCCTGTGAGTGACCCCCACATTTCCATCTGGATTCCTGCCCAGGTTTCCAAATATCTGAGGGATTCTCAAAAGAAGTTGGCTTCTCCAGGCTATCGTATCACACCATTTTCACCCTAAACTCTGGACTACAGCCTCCCATATACCCAACACAGAGAGCTGGCAAAGAATTAACTCTAGTATATGC